GATGGTGACATACTCAAGCAGGCACTGAAAACTGAAGGAACTACTGCAATCTGAAAAGGTAACTCATGCCTTGTTACTGACAGTTACTAAAAGAACAACAAAAAGGTCCATTATTACACATGGATTTTGTTCTTCTCTTGCAGCTCAAAATTACCTAGGAGCTTATGAGCAGTATCTGTTCACAAACTGCCAAAGGATATCCGGAGAAATTGTCACCCTGCCAAAGAGGGATGAAAAGTGATGGACTGTTGCCTGGTGTAGGAGGGGCAATCCACAGAACCTCACCTAATCATGAAGGTGAATTAGGCACTTTGGAGTTGCATATTCTCTTGGTGGAATACCAGAGACAGTACGTGCTTTGAAATGAGCATGCTGCAAAACAATACTGCAAGGAAAACGTGTGAACTTGGTCTTCCAAGGAAGCTCAATTTGAGACCTAGTGTTGTGGGTCTAGGTCTCTTATCACACTCTCTCTGTTTGGGTTATTCCTTCTCTGGGAGAGGCAGGAATTGGAGGAATACAAAAACAAAAATTGAACACCTTAAAAATCAAAAAATGAAAAATTCTGCAATAACAAGCTACAAGTCCTTCAACTACCAGTTTCTGGAAACTGGGAGAGTATTCAAGTGTTCTTGGCATGTCATTATATTGCCCCATTGCCCCATTTTATTCCTCTATCCTAGGCACATGCTGCTGGCCACTGTCAAAGGGCCAGGGGAACCTTCAGTCTGACTCAGTCAGGTCTAATTGATCAGGACCCAACAGAAAGAAGATCCTGTACAAAAATCAAGAGTAGGCATAGACGACAAAAATTGAACACCTTAAAAATCCAAAAATGAAAAGTTCTGCAATAAAAAGCTACAAGTCCTTCAACTACCAGTTGCTGGAAACTGGGAGAGTATTCAAGTATTCTTGGCATGCCATTGTATTGCCCTATTGCCCCATTTTATTCCTCTATCCTAGGCACACGCTGCTGGCATTCCTTCTCTGGGAGAGGCAGGAATTGGAGGAATACAAAAACAAAAATTGAACACCTTAAAAATCAAAAAATGAAAAATTCTGCAATAACAAGCTACAAGTCCTTCAACTACCAGTTTCTGGAAACTGGGAGAGTATTCAAGTGTTCTTGGCATGTCATTATATTGCCCCATTGCCCCATTTTATTCCTCTATCCTAGGCACATGCTGCTGGCCACTGTCAAAGGGCCAGGGGAACCTTCAGTCTGACTCAGTCAGGTCTAATTGATCAGGACCCAACAGAAAGAAGATCCTGTACAAAAATCAAGAGTAGGCATAGGCACAGAACTAACTGCATGATTCATTTTTCTCAAGGTCTCAACAGTTAAAGCATTCAGACACAACAGAAGATCCCACAGAGCAGCGGACCAGTATTAGCTCATCTAATCTCAGCATGATCTATCACAGAGCAGGAAGTCCATGTATGGATGTGAGGCTGGGATCGAGTCCACCAGCCAGAACAAGGATAAGCTTAAGTGATGCATGTGTAACATAACATACTTGATAATGTCAAAATACGTTTTGCAATTGTGTGACAACTAAAAAAAGGATTATTACCAGTAGCGGATATAGCATACGGTGATTATGGACTAATGAGAAAAATTTAATTATTATAAGCTTCATGCTGATCTATCACAGAGCAGGAAGTCCAAGGATAAACTGTATATGTATATATGTATATGTATATATGTATACGATGCATGTATAACATAACATTCTCAATAATGTCAAAATACGTTTTGCAATTGTGTGACAACTAAAAAAAGGATTATTACCAGTAGCGGATATAGCATACGGTGATTATGGACTAATGAGAAAAATTTAATTATTATAAGCTTCATGTCTCAATAAGAAATTACAATGCAGTTCATGATAAAACAGATAAAAACAATGAAAAAATACATCTGCACTCTTATTTATATTGTGTATATGATAAATATACACAATATAATATGATAAATAAAAATGACAAGAAATACTCTTAATGAAGGCAAAGGTTTGTTAAGTATGTACTATAATTTTTATCAAGTTCATCATGAAGTCAGAATTTATCAAACTGTTAGGGTAAAAACAGACAAGGAAAACATAGTTATATATACACATAAATTTAAAAATCTGAAATACAGAGCATCTTATTTGTAGAATGGAATTTAGTTTGGAAACCCCACAGTTGCCATCTCATATTTATTTCTTGCTGTGCTTTACACTGGGATCTCTTGTAATAAGCAACCAGTAGGCGCAGCAGATAACATAACACATGATAAGAAGGGCATGGGCTTGACTGCTGGAGTTTTTTGATAGCTAAGGGAATCGTGTAGGAAAAATTTCCTTCAAATAAAAGAAGCTCATGTGTGTAAGATGTTACTTGGCTAGTTATTGATACTACTAGCATATATAGCAAGTAGATTAAAAACTCAATATTTTATTACCATGAAGTTTTAGAGCTCATGCTTTATTTTTACAGATATTATTTGGCAACTAACTTTATTTAAATCAAATAAAAATTTACTTCCTTTTTTCAAGCACACTCTTAAGCCTACCAGTAGCGTTACGTTTGTGTTGCATGGATATTACTGGCCCTACAGGAAAAAATACCTAGCTGGTTTTTAGTAAAGCAAAAAACTGTGTTTTGAGGTTGGCAGGATGCACAACATCGTACTTTCACAGTCAGTCAGTCATTAATTATATTATGAATATAAATTATTAATATATATGATTAATAACAGCAAATTAACATTACTACTGCTAGTAATTATTGATTATGCAAATATCATAACTTGTTTATTTTTCTTTAAACTTCTTTGCTAAAATACTAACATTCTTTTATTCAAATAAACAGCTTAGTTCTTATGAGGACTAAAATGGTTGTGTAAATACAATATATTTCTACAAGGAGAAATGGGAAATAGCCGTACTTGTGTAAGTTTCTATGGCAAAATACACTCTGTAAAGTTTGCAAAAATATATTTTTTATCATCCAGTGATTTCCCTGAATGTCAGTTTCATTGTAGTGGTACTCAATACACACAGCTACCTCCAAGAAGGGCGGGGAACTGCAGACAAAACCACTGAAATGTAGGTATGCCTATATAGTATTTTGTTGGCAGATCAAACTCCTTGTTCCTGAGTTTAAAGCATGCACATACTTATTCTGCCTATATTTTGAGCTGACCAGAAGCTGTGTAACTGCATTAATTCTTGAGCTAATATACCATGGCTCTCAACAGGACTAATTAGTTTGGGTTCAGTCCCATGTTATAGCTCCAGATTGGCTTGGAGAGTAATGAAAGCAAGCTCACATCTGTCTATATAAGACCATGTGTATGTACCTGGTATCAGTAACAACCAATAATGCATACTAATTCAGACTTTGATATCCATTTCTCTCTTTTTTTTTTCTTTATAGAGGTGACAGTTTATGGAAGAAATAAATGTTTGAATAGCAAGTTAATTCATGAAAAAGACAAAACATTTTGACTTAATCATAGGCCATGCTATTATATACATACTAGACACCCCTGTACATTCATGATACTGGCCTTCTTAAGCTTTACTTTTTGAAATGTGAAATAATGCTAGTGATTAGCAATGGGCAAAACCTTATATAGATACATACATATAATCTGAAGATGTTGAAGATGAAGATGAAAGTTGAAGATGGGAGGTTGGATGAGATGCTTTTTAAAGGTCCCTTCCAATCTAAACTGTTCTATGATTCTATGATTCTATATTAAGGTCTATGCATTTGTTTACATAAATTGTTCTGTTCAAAACAAGAATTGCCCATTTTCTACTGTTCAAGCAAAATAAAAACACTGCACAGATTATTATTAGTATTCTAGATCTACATCTGGGCAAATCAATTATTGTGAGCTAATTTCAGTTATTAACTAGCCCCCCTGTCTAAAAGCCACTCAGAAAACTTTTAATGCTATTTTTCACTAATATTTTACTATGCTGATTTTTTTTGCAAATAAATTTTATTTACAAACTGAGCTTTCATAACTGATAGCCGGTGAATTAAACTATTTCTATTTATTGGATATATCACAAACAATTTCCTAACAGAGAGAAAGATGAAATATTATGTCACTAAGTGTCACAGTATTTTTCCTGCATTCTTTAGGATTAACAGTTCTTACTCACAAATTATAATTTACAACCTACAAAAACCAAGCACTTAGTTCATACCTTATTGCAAATTAATTCCCTATTCATATGAAGAGCAACAAATACCAAGCATTTATGGACACAAAATCTTTTTTTTTTTTTTACAAAATTTCACATAAGGTAACTAAAAAAAGGCAAACCCACAATCTTTACCAATCACATCAATTTTGTATAAGATATATCTATTGCTATATTCACCTGTCTGTAAAGCAGCTTACATAAGAAAGCTTGAAAAAATATACAACTTTTATCAGTACACAACAACTTAAACAGTAAATATTTAAAATTTATGAGGCATTTCTATGTGAACAATCACACTAAATAAGATGATTCAGGCAGTTCTAGGAAAAGTTTTAGCTGAAAAACTGCATTTACAATCTATCCTAAAACTAAGCAGAACACAGCACCAATCCAAGCATTAGCTCAATTAAAAAAAAAGGAAAAAAAAATGAAATCCCTTCCCAGCTTAATAACTTGTTAGTTCTTGACAAGTGCAGCAACACAACAATAAGCCAGTCAAAATGAGTTTTTAAAGCGAGGTTATGCCCTTCGTGTTGTGTTATCACAGTGGCAGATCAAACTGCTGACTTGGACTCTTTTTGCCAGCAGTGCTGATGCTGCCTCTATGAAGCTGCTGTCACGGAATAGTCATGGTACCTGCTCTTGCCTATAGAAAAGCACTAAATTGAACTCGAAGTAGTGTCTTTGTGATATCTTTTCAACAAGTCATGTCCCATTCAGCCTGCTAGTTTATCTCTGTCAGTCTGGGGGCCCAAGTGGTTTGCATGAGCTGTCAGGGACAGGTACACCAACCTGCTCAGTGCTAAGGAGGTAATGCATCTTTCGGGCTTGGTACTTCTTTTCCTTTTCTTTCTTTTCTAGCTCTTTCCTTTTCTCTTCATTTTCCTTCATTTCTTTGTACTCTTGGAGTTCGTTCCTGTAATAAAATAAGTCTGCTAATTATATTACAACAATAAATAAATGTGCTAATGTTTTATTTTCACTTTAACCCTTATATAGCTTCACAGTGTTCTGCTGTTATGTGTTAGCAGTGTACTGACACCACTGGAAGGCAAAATTACAGTTCATTCAGTTGCACAGCAGCAGGATTCTATATGGATATAACTGTGAAGAAATAGGATTAAAATGATAAAAACTATGAATAGTATATAAGTTCATATCAGAATATGTCAACCTACATATTTTTACAGCTTGATAAAATAGCATTCATAGATTTCCCTTTTTTTCTCTTTAAGAGTCATTTTAGTTTGAATTTCGCTAAGCAGAAGTTATTATGATTTAGTGATTTTTCTTCAAATTGTTTCAAAACATAAGTTGTTCACTTATGTTTCAGCCAGTGCCTTGCAGCACCTCCTTCTGATCTGCAAACAGAGGAAACCTTATGGAATGAGAGACAATAGTAGACACAAGGTAAGAGTTGACATTAATTTTAGATCCTCGAGCCTTTTGTAAGGGTCAGAATGTAGGCATAGAGGAGAAGTGGATGTAAACCTTTAATGCGTGCAGTGTCCTTAAGAGGGGCTTGCATAGCATTAGGTTTTTTGCACAGGTTGCTTCCTACTCTGGTGTGATAGCAATGGTGTAGGCCACCACAAGGAACAAGAACGTGACTTCCTCAGGAGCCACTGCATGACAGAGGTTTGCAAACACATCATCTAAATGGTTGGGTCTGTGTATTCAGTAAGTCTTAAAAGAAATAAGGAACTGTACCTTGTACCAGCTCTTGAAGAACGGAGAAAACTCATGATTTTAACAGAGTGTTTAGAGGAAAACTTTACCAAAAGATGGGCATAGATTTTCTCTTCAATGGCTTTTTTTCATAGACTCAGGCTTGCCATAAATTATGCAAATGGTGGAGTGAATTAATGTTCTATAAGAAACAAAATCCATGCTGTTGTGCACCGTGCATGTGTATGGAATATTTTTGACCCAGTTAAAAAAGGTTAGTTTGATTAACATTTGTTATTTTTGTTATTAAGAAATAGCTAGTTCAAATTAACCTGTGTGCCAAAGACACCAAGCATATTCAGTCAAGCGTTTAGATTGTTTAAAAGTTAATTAAGTGAGTAAATTCTAGTCTTCATTTTTTTAAGCATGCGTGTATACGATAAAATAAAAAGCAAAGAAAAATACACTGTTCACATGTCTGGATAATTCAAGTATTCCAGCAAAACAAATTATTTAGAGAGGTCCACATTAATATTCTCAGTTGCTTCAACGCATACCAAATAAGACACTTAAGGACAGGGGTCAAATCCTGTCCAAATATTCACATGAATAAGTTTGCTGATATGAAAAATCCCATGGGAAAGTCATATTGTTCCTGAAAGTTGTTTTAATATTGTGACTTAGACTTATTCTTAATATTTTAATTATCATAATGTTAAGTTAGTTTATCAAAATATGTGAAAGAACAATAATTGCTTTATAAATATGAACACTATGAAATCACACTCTAATATACAAGTTGCAATGCAGTATTTTTATTTGTTTCAGCCTATCTTTCAAGTTTTTATCAACTAAAATGACTAAAATACTAAGTAATTAAATATGGTTTTTTTCAAATGTAAAAGAAAAAAAAATAGAATGAAAAGAAAATAAATAAAAGATTGGAAAAGATGTATAGGTCTGTTTCAATCTCTGGAAATATTTTTTGTTGCAGCTTACTGTTAAAGGCTGCTAATACAATATTTCATACAAGGTTACTTATGAAGCACACTGACGTTTAAAAATCACCATGCTATGCTTTTGCAGCAGTGTAATTTTTTTCCAACATAAGATTAAATTGCAAAATAAATGAATTACTTAGTGTGGCATGGCCCCCATTTTGCCACCCTTCTCTTGAAAATTGCTTATTAATATGAAAAAAGAAGTTGGAAAATAGCCTGTTTTGCTTTATGCATAGCGTTTTGGGGCCTCAAAGCCTGCAGAGCTGGACTAGCTGCACATTTTAGATTGTGTTGGCAAGCAGGGACGACGACCTCTCTGACCTGCATCTCAAGGCTATTATTAATCGCTAAGTAACCTGGTAAAGCCAAAGAAATTTGTTTCCATTGAAAGGATCTCTATCTGTGTCTGAGAATTTGTGCTGTACCAAACAAACCTCATTAACTGTGTCCATTTTTGACAAAGAACTAGGAGTTGGAGAGATTGGCGACCTTTCTTTGTCCTTAAGGTACAGATTTCAGAGTCACTGCATGTAGGCACATAAGCATTTTTACTTGGTTTACTTTTACTTCTTTGTTCTATATCAATCAATCATAAACAAATGAATAAATACACAATGCATATATTATCAACTTTGTTCTTTTATTTTATGCAACTTTATCGTCAATATTAGATTGTATGATACATGTTTTTCATAGATAATATTATTTCTTTTACTATTTTGAATAAAGTTTGCTATTCAGCTTTAGTATCCCTATCTACAACTGGTGAAATGTCTACCAACATATTACTTCAGCTTATTCATGTTCTTGTATACTCATGTACTTTCTTCACAGATATGGAAATTTTTTTTTTTAGAGCACAACTAGTGTTGAAAAATCCCAAATAATTATAAAAATATAAATTTGTATAACAGATGTAATGATAATGGGATGCAAAATGTTTCCAATTGTCTTCAATCTGAATTTATCAGGTTACTTTGATTGAATGATCAATAGTCATTATTTGCTGTAATTAAATGAAGTCTAAAATACTTGTTGAAGTTCAATGTAATTCATGATCTTTTTAGACAGTACTATCATCCAAATTATCACGATTCTTCCTGATTATCACACATCCTCACTAATGCTGTACCATAATCCGTTTAAAAGTTTAGTTTTCTTTTGTGGCCTACACATTTTGTCAGTTGTGCTAAAATATTCCTGTCATGCATTATCCTGCTCTGTACAATTGCACAGAACACGCAAACAGTTATGTCTCAGGGATAACAGCTCCCAAAATGATTCTCTCCTTAGAGGCAGTACGAAATTAAGAGTATGTAGTAGCCCAAACCTTTCTTGACTGGAAAGCATAGAACTTTTAGTACACATATAACTTGTATTCTAAAGCTATTTGAACCTGAAACTTTCATCTCCTTTACCATACTTTCAAAAAATTGGATAGGAGCAACAAAAGCACAGAATCTAAAAATAGTTGGATATGAATATACTGTTTCACACATTAGCAGATTAATACTAACATGTTATGTACTTTGTAGGGGTTTCACTGTTACAGTACAGAAATATGCATATAATCATAAGTGATATTAAAGACAGAAACTTGGACTTCCAAATAGAGTTAGACTTCCAGACAGCTTACATGTAAATGTGTTTATTGAGAAGTATCATGCTTGTGACCTTCTACATTTATGCCTTCCCAGAGAAAGTAAGTCCAAATTCCATTAAAGCAATTGAAAATCCGTTGAAATTAAATGATCTTTGGACTAAACCCTTACTGCCAGCCTTCGACGATCTTTGGACTAAACAGTTACTGCCAGCCTTCACTTTGAGTACTAGTAAGCAGTCTTTTCTTGGGACTATTTGATATTTTGAATACTAGCTATGATACATGATATTCTGCAAATTCTGGACCGAATTGCTTCAGGATAAACGTTTCATGGTTCAGTGTTAAGTGAGCTAATTGAATATAAGCAAATTGTTTGGCCTGCGTTTTTAAAGCTTCACCAAGATTTTGGGAGAAAAGGATTTCTGTGGATGCAAAACATGTTTTAGGTTAATTAATAGTCTTATTTGTATAATTGATGTTTGTTGCATGGCTCATAGTTGGAATAGTACTGCTTATTAAACTGTTATAACTGAAAAAATGGGTTTGTTCTTTTTTTAGCACATAATCTTTTCATTATCTTAAAGCTTATCTCAGTATATTAACAGCCTGTACTACATCTTCCTACAAACTTGGCTTCCCATACAAGCTTAGTCCAATCAGAATTTTTCCCATGTGGATTTTTATGGAATATCTTTGTAGACAAAACATGTAAGTTTTAACTAATGTAGTGTCTTACAATGATCTGAAAATTCTTCAACAAATCAGAAGAATATAATTTTTTATTAGTGCAAGTTCAGGATGCATCCTTTTGTTAAAAAAGTGAATACACCGGGTAACACAAAGTGTGTCTTCTGTGTCATAGGGAACATTTCATGTAATTGAAAATAGTCATAAGATTATTGATGTATGTGCTCAAAGCCCACAATTTAAAATGATCTTGTGTAACAAATTTGTGAAGTAGCTATTGATTTGTTAATGGTAAAATTATTTGCTTTATATGGCTTGAAAATAAAACATTTTCATATGACAAGGGAACTTATTGTTATTCTGATACCTCATTATGCAGTAGGCAGTGGTGTTGGTTCCAGCTATGAGATGCAAATTCAGTTGACAGTGCTCCTGCTGTTTGTATAAAGGTTAAAAATACACATATAATATTGTTCCTGACACTTTTGGAAAGGTCTTCAAGTGATGATTTTAGCAATATACAGATTTTAATAATTCTGCACATAATTGCATCATTTTACAAATCCACGCTGACGTACATTTATTGAACTTTATCAAACTATGGTGTTGTGTTTGCATTTTCACTGGCACTATGTGTTCCTTTGACTAGACAACCATAGAATTATAATACTAACTAAAGTAAAAGGCACCTGAAAAAATCAATAATTAGCGTAGTTGCCTAGAGTACCCAGAAAGACTACAAAGTTAAAAGTTATTGCGATTTTAAACAGTTCAGATCCCAAATCATAAAATTCCTGCAGCATAGGCAGTAGGCAACCTTAGCATAAAAGGAGATAACCTAAATCAATTTTACCTTCCTGACTATATATCATCCTTCCTGCTCAAATACAGAATATGGAAGTAAAAATTAAATTAGTGGGACAATACTTTTGGTACACCACTGCATGCCGCTTGATT